GGCACTCGTGGCAATGTGGTCGAGTGGTTAACGTGTCAAGCTCCCATTCTGCACTGTCACGGTTCAACTCCCGCTGAGGGCGTTGATAAAACCGATGCGAGGTCGAAACTACAGTCCACTTCAGCCGGGATGAGAACAAGTTTTGGGAAAGCAAGGTAATGTCAAATTAAATGGAAACGTCAGCAATACTCATATATTGTAGGAAAATTCTACTTTCAGTCCTTCACCCTAAACAAAATAGGGTATCTCTCATATTACTGATTTACTGGTGGTCTCGAAACTCTACTCAAATATAAAACAAGTTAAAGGAGTTGTTATATGCATCTTCTCAAAGGATCAAAAACTTGGTACTGTAAGGGACAATTATCGGTATGTTTTGACGCACAATCTGTCTATACAAACATCTCTGAAGAAAAAGCTCTGCTGGGGATCTTGGACTTAGAAGAGGATAAATTGTGGCTGTGTTAACGATGGCACAGAACTAGGTACGCTCCACAAGTTCTCCCTTATCCTCCGACCAAGTTGCGAAAACAAGGTTGAACCAAAACTAAGAGGACATTCTGGGACATGGCTAATCAATTTTACAATAGGTAATAACCTACCTCACATTTAACTGCGGCATCTATGAGCTTATCTTTGGATTCCCCATGAGGTCACCGCTCAACTTTGCAGAATGTATACATGAACAAATGATATGAGGATTTCAGGACGTCATCGCTGCAAGCAAAAGTATTTATGCAATACCTAAGTGATTACTTTGCACCTTGTTTGCATGGAAAAAAAAATTGTATGAATTTTTGAAATTGATAAACCATATTTCATGAAAGAATCAAATTCGCATTAGAAGTAGAGGAGCTGTAAGTTGAAGTCATTCGTACGAGTGATCACTCAAGAGAAGATTGTTCAGAAGGAAGTCATCTGTTGGAATACTACTCAATTTCCAGTCACATCACGACTACAGACTGGAGGTCATAATATTGAAGAGCATGATCATTAGAAGCCTACGATTAATGGCCGTTGATAAATTGACTCGATGCGCCTGGGTAATGGATACTCGGGAAAAGCAATACAAAGATGCATATGGACAGTGAAAAGTCGATGGCAGGACAGGCATTATGAAAGAGTATGCAGAGGGACTAACAAAAGTGGATATACCCATTTCCTGCGAACGATCTGAAAAAATACCACCGATAATAAGAAGATGGAATATTCAGGTGACCACGAAGGAGAAAATATTACCTCACAAGTTAACCCATGCAGCATGAGGTGGACAAATTGGACTGTTCATGGGTACTGCATGGCATGCTACGGCTGCAAACAGAAATATATTGGCGAAAAATCAGCGTACGAAACAAGGGCCCTGCGGGAAAATGGATATTGAAAGAGTAGAAATAGCGGAACTAATTGCACAGACTACACACAAAATCAATTAGAAGGCAACAGAAAGAAAAGCCTCACACGGTGAAATCAGATGGAAAAATAAGGTAAGTTATGCGATTTACATGAACAAGAAATGAGAAAGTGTTAGTGTTAGCAATAACTTTGCCTATGATGACAAGGA